GCCTTAAGTCACCTGCTCTGACTTAAGCTCCTCAGCATCACTTTCCTTACCAGGACACTCTATCCATTCCCCTCTTCTCCCCTCCCCTCTTCCCAGTGGGAGAAAACATTCCTCTTCCCACTGAGCTCTCGCGTGCACGGGAGCCCCTGGTTCTGGTGTCAGAAGGTGCTGGCACTTGGGTTGTGGCTTTGGACAAGTGTCTGACTTTTCTGACCTCAGTGTTGCTTCTTTGGTGCAGTGACAATGCCTGCCTCTTGGAGTCTGTGTGTGGATGACAGGCCATGATGCATGTCAGATGCCTAGCACACAGGAAGCCTTTCCTCGGTGCCAGCTGCTACTCCCTCCCACCTCTGCCAGGCTCCTGTCACCAGAATGTCCTCTGTACTGTTTGCCCTCAGACTCCCCACCAGTGTCAGAAGAACCTTTGTTTTGATTTAGGAATAGGAAGAAGTAGACCCATTGTGAGCCTCTTGTACACTAGGCAGTTTCCATGTGTCCATACTAGGTGCCCCCGAGTCTGGATGTCTCTCTGCTAGGTGCCAGACTCCCTAGAACTGAACAGTCTACTGCTCTAGCTTTTCTTTCTACTTCTTTCTACTTACGGTTTCTAAAACCTTTCATTGAGTTCTGGGTTGTTTTGGTCCTCTTGCAGCTTGCTCTCTCACTCATCTTTTTTTCTCTGGAAGTCACCTCCTCCTCCTTTTAGGTCATGTTGCTTTCTTGATTTTCTTTCTGTTTCTGCTGAAGGTTTACATCTATCTTCTGCTGCCCACATTGCCCCCACCTCACCTGGAGTCTACCTCCTCCTTCCTGCTTTAGCTATGGCAGGTCCAGTAGTGTCCTGTAGCTAGCTGTAGTGGCCTTGGGGGTTACAGGCTTACAAATTGTCTTCAAGCCCTGCTCCCCTGCATCAGCACACCACCTAAGAGCCTAGAACCCTTTATGTCTTCCCCCAGCTGTTTGACCAGGTGGTTTTGTTAGGTGGTCTAGAGCCCCAACTCTTTGGTATTCCAGCTTTTGCTTTGACCTTCATAACTGGTGGCCCACTTGCTTTTCTTCTGTATCTTGGCATCCTCCTGATAAGATCTACCCCTAGCTCCCAGAGTTGCAGTGTGGACTGAATGAGCTAAGATACAGGACATGTGTGTCAAAGTCTTTACCACACTTTGCAGTGGCTCAGTAGTGTTGTTCCCCATTGTTATGCCAGATTCCTCACTCTGCCATGGGGAACTCTCCACATCCAGCCCACATGCTGGCCTGCACTTGTGTACATAGGACTGTCCAGTCAAGCTGAGGGGTGGTCCATCCCATGCACCAGTCCTAGGCCTAACCTTCCCAACCTCCAGGTCTTCATGTGGCCACTCTCTTCTTTGCCTTCTCAGGTACTTGGACCTTTAGGAAGCATCTTTGTCTTGACTTCCCCCACATTTGGCAGCAGTGTCCCCAGACCTTGTCCCTTTTCTAATTCCTGTAGGTTCTACTGTGGTCTATGTCATGTTGGACTGTTCCTGGAACTCGAACCTATTTGCCCAGACTGAGCACGTTGGCGGAGTTCATTTTGGTTCCTCCCAAATAATAACTGAAAGAGGCCTTCAGGATGTATTTGTCTGGTGCCCATTCCAGTTGGAGCCTGGAGAAGGAGGGATGCACACTGGAGAGCAGTCCTGGGAAGGGGAGTTTGAGTTGGGGATAGGAAGATGAAATGCCCTTCAGAGGAATGCTGAGCGCTGGAATGGGGGAATTCTGAGTGTGGCAATATAATAGCAAATGGTTTTTACTTGAGTACTTGCTGTCCTTATAAATTCTGTAAACTCCTGTTTGTCCAGCCTCGGTTAAAAAAGGGTCTGCTGATTTAATATCCTGGTTAATATTGTTTTGGACATAGACTGAGTAAAGCATTTGTATGTATTTGCCCCTTTCACTGCTGCTTCGGTTGTGTGACCTGGACAAATGAGTGAGCTTCTCTGAGTCTGATTTGTTTCAACTGCAAAAGAGGAATAAATAATTCCTCTTTTGCAGTGGTAACTAGCATTTATTGGGCATTTTCTGTATGCCAGTAAATATGATGCTTACCATAGGCTTATTCATCTCATGTAGTCTTTGTCATTCTCTTGTGAGCCCACACCACTGTCCTTACTTACAGATACGATGGCTTTATAAACTGCCCAAGGTTACTCAGTTGCTAAGGGATGGGCCAGGATTGATCTATCTGGTAGACTCCAAAACCTTCTGGGAGGGACAGGGTGTTAGATCCCGTGTGCCAGACATCACACTAGGAGCCCTCTAGGCTTGCAGAGATTGGGAACTAGTCTCAGTTGACAAGCATGGTATGAACTGTCCTTCTAGCAGTGCTGGTGTCCTTGTCATGGTACAAGGGACACACATTTGGATATTACCCTATCAGCAGTTACAAGGGCTTGTGAGCATCCTCCTACCTCCTGTGGTGTCTGTTTGTCATCTCTTGCTTTCTCCTGCCTGTCTGAGGCTCTTAGGAAAGCCCCTGATGCCCATTCTTCCTCCCCAGGATCCCCTGTCAGATGAGCTTCCTGAAGAGACTCACTGACACTGTGAGAGACATCTAGGAGCTCTCCCCAGGGAGGAGACTTCAGAAGTCTCTCAGCTTTGTCCTCCTTATCCCAAAGATATGCCCCCCCCAGCTACTGCTGTACCCCAGCCTTGGTGGAGATATATATGTTTTTAATGCCAATTGTTTCCTTTGAATACATTTAGATATGGAAGGGAACAATGTTTTATGTGAAGAACCTGTTACGTAAAAGTGGGTTATATAATGTTCAACTATATACCCCCCAAAGGTAATGATCACTGGCTCTCTGGAACAGAATTAACCTCAGGTTGACAATGTGAAAAGTGATGCTCTGCCCTCAGTGTCCCCTTTTGAACTCTGCTGTCCTTGCTGGGGATCTGGAGCAGGCTGGTTGGGAATGGATCTGGATCTGGCCTGGGGTGCTGCTGTGAGACAGGCTGGAAGTTGCCTTTTGAGAGAGGAGATGCAGTGACATCTTGGTGACTTCTGTCTCCAAGCTGCTTACTCTTTCTCACTTAGACCATCAATACCACCTGTTTTCACTTTTCTGCTCCACTCGCCACTCCTCTGGGTTTTCTCCATTCAACATGACCAGGCAGATGCCCTGTGTCCAGTCTTCTTGGCCCATTCAAGGCTGCCTCTGCCCCTCTGGGCCATCCCTGCCCCTGTCTCCAACCTCCATTACCAGACCCTGTGCCTGAGCTTCCATGCTGCTTGTCTAACGAGGTCAAACTCTCTCCTGTTGAATGTCCCTTGGCCAGAGAGGCCTTCCTCTCCCGCCCTTCCTCTGCCTACCTTGAATCTCTCACCCCACCCCCTTCCTTTTGCTTGTTAGTCATTTATTCCAAAGCAATGCTATTTCACAGTGGGCAGATTGCTATCTCCTGCCTAATCAGGATGGTCAGTTCCTTCATTTTTCAATTGTTTGATGATGAACTGTCTTCCCCTCACTTCCTGCTGTTTCCACTCACCCCTTCTTCCAGTGGGAGTTCCTGAAGGCTACCAGGTGAAGGGGGAGGACAGTAAACAAAGGAACCAAAGGGAGTGAAAACCGTAGGAAGCACTGTCAGGGAAGATGCTTTAGTAGGCTCCACAGGGAAGACCTCACTGAGAAGGTGACTTGAGCTCAGCTTCTGAAAGATCCAGGTACAGTTTCCATGGACTGCTACCAAGGTCCTGATGTTGGAGGCAGCTTCATTGCTGAGTGCAATGGAAGTAAGAGCTGGTATAAGGGTCTGAGTTTCTGTGGCCAGATGCTTTCTCTCTTTTCTTTTCTCAGGAACCTTGAGTCCAGAGTCAAAGACCTGCAAGATGAATTAAAGCATTTGCTCATATCATGTAACTGGTGGTTCACTGTTCCCTGCTTAGAGGGCCTTTCATGCAAGGCATTGTTTATATGCTGTGTCACATACAAACAAATTAAGAGTTTGAAGGGTTCCCTCATAAATGTACTGCTGACAGGTGTCACCGCCTGTTACTGTTTTATTATATTTGGTGCAGACTTCTGTATATTGTTTGACATGCATGCTCATCTTAAATGTTTTAAAAGTTTGTTTGTAATGCAGCTGATGGAAGTTTGGCATAAGTTTGTCTATATTTAAAAAAAGGCAACCTAACTAAATAATGGTTTAGTTCCCCATCAAGCTCAGGAAAGCCACTTAGGGACAGCTGTAGCCAAAACCGTATGGCTTTGTTCTAAAGCAGTGTTAGCGTTAATTAAGCTGCAGCTTGCAAGGCCCTCATCTGTGGTGCGTTACAGTTATTTACTGCTGGCTTTAGCTGTTTATCTTAGTCACTTCTACTATTCTCAGCCTGTCAGAAAGCTTTATGAAAGGAATTTTCGTCCCTAACCTTTCTGCCCTTAAGAGTTGGTCCGTTGTTTTATAAATGAGGCAGTAGAACTCAGAGTGGAGGGTACTGTTAGCCAATGCGGTGCTGTGCTGAGGCACTTGAGAAGGAATACTCCTTTTGGAACTTTGATTTCTCAGGGTCTTCTCAGTTATAAAATCCCGTGTTTTCGAAGAGCAACAGGAAAATGAAACATGACCTCAATTGTGCAAACCTGCTTGGAAATGGGCCTCCTCCAGATTCTTCTAGCAGTACAAGTCAGGGGGATGAGGGAAACTTCGAAGCTCCCTTGGCTAGAGCTCAGTAGTTTTGCTTTCACAGTCCCCCCTCCCTTATCTGTCTTTTAAAATGAATCAAAAGGAATATTTTCCTAGAACTTTTGATCCAGATAGGAATTGTGTGTTCTTGGTCATCTAATCTCCCAAATCATTATGTAAATCACCTTTTCTTGGACTCTTAGGGATAAACATGGTGACTGGTTTGTTTGCTTGTGAAATACACTTGTGAGAACCCTCAGGGACTGGGATGAGCTTGCAGCTGAGAACAGAGCTAAAAGAGTGTGGGATCCAAAACAGTTTTAAATGTTAAATGCAAATCTATTTTCAGTATCCTGCTGGAGGGGAAAGGAGCCCAAGGCTGGAGACGATAGAAGCGACTTCTGTTTCAAAGGAGGAAGGGGTTTTACCATGGTGAAAAAAGCCATCCTTTCACCGGGCGCTACCCAGCCCTTCTCACCTCTGAGTCCTGTTTTTGGCATCTTGGGTCACTCTGCCATTTGAGACATTTGATATTTAAGTGACGTTCGTGGCTGAGCTCAGCTGGCAGTGTTGAAAAAAATGACTGAGGTGAGCATGCTGTACTGTCTGTCCTTGGTGCATTCTGGAGGGAAGGACTGCCGCCATGCTGGGTGACAGAGCACTTTTAGTGCTGCCCCCGGTTTGGTCAGTTAGGGGCAATATGTTCATTTTCACCCCCTCACTTGAAGGCCCAAAGGGAGTTTGTACAAGGAGACACTGTGCTGGGAACTTCCCTGTGGAGCTGGGGTGCATGGAGCCTCTTCTTCTTCCTTGGGTGCCAGAGTGTGAGCAGGAATGTCACCTGTTTATTCCCCACCATGTCCCAGGACCAGCCATTGAGTTGGTGTCTGCACAGATCAATTGCCCAATAAATACCTGTTTATTTATTCAACAGGTGAACTGAGCTTTGTAAAAACCCCAGTTGTCCCTGCCTTGCTACAGGATATATGCAGGGGCTTGCTCTTGTATGTATTTGGGAGTCTAGGTAGCTATTTCTTTTGGGCATCTGTTTTTTTGTATTCTCCATGGCTGGAGATGAGTGCCCTTTACTGATGGAGGATTTAACTGTTCAGCTGACATTCCTCTTTATGCTGTCTTTCCTTGGCTCCAGAGCATAGCTTAGCAGTGGCTGAGCCTCATCATCTGAGGCTCACTTACTGCACATTTATTTGGGCATAATAACACATTCATTATTTAGTCAACAGATGTCTGAAGGGCTGTATGCCAAGCACCAGGCTAGACCCAAGGGCAGACCTGATTCATTTTTTTGTGGCTCAGGAGCCTACGGTTTTTTTGATTTTTTTTTTTTATTCCTTAAAGAGCATCCCATGGGTGTGGGGGGGATGGCGGTGGCTCATTTGTAAAGTGCAGGATGAACATATGTGAGGACCTGCATTCAGATGCCAGCACACAGACAAGGAGGGTAGGGCTTTTCTTCCAGGTGGATATGAATACATACAGATAACTCAAAGGACAGAGGTGGGAATGATGAGAGTGCATTCAGAAATTGGCTAACCTAGAATGGAAAGTTCTGAAGTGGGAATTGAACTGTGGAAGATTATTCAAGACCTGGCTGTGTTTAACCCACTGTGTGATGGGAAAACAGGGAAGTCAGTGACAAGTCAAGGTTTACCTAGTGACACTTTAGACAATTTAGCTATCAACTCCATACCACCTAGAGTCATTTGAAAGTAGAATTGTTAATGGATTTCCTGGATCAGATTGCTGTGTCTGTCTGTGAGGGATTGTCTACATTGATGACTGATCTTGGGGCACCATCCTGAGGCTGAGAAAGTTGAAGAATGATCCAGCAAGCACATTTCCTCTGTGGTTTCTGCCTGCAGGCTTCTGCCCTGAATTTCTGCCCTGACTTCTTTCAGTGACAGACTATGAACTGGAAGTGCAAGAAGAAATAAAGCCTTTCCTTCCCAAGTTGCTATTGGCCAGAGGGGTTTGCTGCAGCAACAGAATGAAACTGGAACACCCAGTGTGATGGTTATTATCCATTGTCAGCTTATGGGGGCGTATGTGTAGAATCTCCTAGAGGTGGGCACACTTGTGAGGCTATCTAGATTAGGTTAGCCTCTAGTTATGCCTCTGAGGGTTTATGTTGATTAGCTTAGTTGAGGAAGGAGTGCCCACTCTCAGAGCGTGGTACCATGCTGTGGGCTGGCGTTACAGACTGAATGAGAAGGAGAAAGGGAGCTGAATGCAAGTATTCATCTCCCTCTGCTCCTGAATGTGATGCCATGTAGCCAGCTGCCTCTCAAGCTTCCCATCATTATGGACTGCACTGGAATTACAAGCCCAAATAACCCTTCTCCTTTAAGTTGTTTTCTTGGCATATTTTTAAAAAAGTCAACATGATTATCACCATTATAATCATTGTTGTGTATGTGTTTGGGTACACATGCTATGGTGAGCATGTAGAAGAGGACAACTTTGTGGAGTCAGGTCTCCCTACTTCCAGGTTAAAATGGGTCCCAGGATGGAACTCAGGTTATCAGGTTTTTGTTATTAGGTAGCAAGTGCTTTTTCCCATGGAGCCATCTCACTGGCCCCTTGTGAGATTTTATTATTTTAATCATAGCAACAGGAAAAGTAAAGAGACACCTATCAAAGTAGTAGAGACTGGTGGGCAGTGGGAAGCCCGTGAAATTATTTGGTTATGCCATGATAATGTTCCTTAAATACTCACACAGGAGTCCTGTGTGAATGTTGCAGTTACATTGAAGCACAGAGGGCTAAATGCAGCTGAGGTCTGAGTGGAGGGAACTGATGGGCTAGATGGAGAGAGACACAAAGCCAGAAGTCCCAGTTAATTGACAGTTGTGTTAGTGGGCTTGATTGTTACCAGTTAATCTTTAGAGTTCTGGAGTATGTAAACATCTGCCAGTGTAAGTGGCTTTTAAGTGTGTGAACTACACTTGTGCTGTGACCAGACACCTCAGTCATGAGTTCTTCAGAGGCAAGGCATCATGCTGGAAGAAAAGTTAAAAAACAAATACGTTTTGTCTGTAGGGAGCACAGGAGTAGGAATGGAATAACTGCATTCCAGGCTGCTTCCACACCATCTCTTAAGCAGATCACTGATGTCTCAGACTGAGCCCAGTTGTCTGTTGAGCTGGTAAAATAATTCTTATCCAACCCTTCACAGTGTGGGTGGGTCTGATGCTTGAGAGAGATAAAGGAAGAATGCAGGCTTTGAAGCTGTAACCAGTGAGATTGTGCTGGCTTTTACAGGTGTTGCTGCAAAGCTGGGCCACCTCCAGGGCTAGCTGGAGGATGTGGCGCTGTCCACTACTTGGGTGCTGACTCATGCTTCTTTGTTGGCTAGGAACATTTTTGTTGTTGATTTTGTTTTGAGATAGGGCCTCTTGTGCCCAGGATGTCTTTAAATTTTCAGTGTAGCTGAGGATGTCCTTGAACCTCTGATCCTCCTGATTCCAGCTCCTGAGTGCTGAGATTACAGGCGTGTGCCACCACCCTGTTTGTGCAGTGCTGAGGATTGGACCAAGGATTTTGTGAATGCTGAGCAAGCATTCTGCCCTCTGTCCTAAATCTCCAGTCCTGGGGCCATGCTTATAGATAGTTACTCATTTTGTACCCAGAGATGGGGAGCCATATACCCAGGCATGGATGGAAAAGTTAGGTACAGATAGTTACTCAAATGTTTTCTTCTCTGGGAATGTCTCAGCAAAGAGATGGGCAGCTCCAAACCAGAAAAACAACTGGCTGGCCAGGCATTCTTAGATGGTTTTTCTGTTCTTAGGCATTAGGCAGAGATCCAGAAGAGCCTCCATTAGCCTAGAATTAATAAATGAGCCAGCACACTGTCCAGGTAATAGCCAGTTGTAAAGCCTGTAGCTGCCACGGCATAGCAGAACCTTTCTTGGTGATCTGCCAACTCTTAACTTCATCAGCATAATATATGTGTTCATCTGTATTAATAGTGGTACCTAACCCCTGGCTGTGGATGTATGCTAAGCATTGTGCTAAGTGCTGACTAGTCTTTTCACCTCACTCTTTTTGACAATCCTATGGAGTGTGGGTGGCATAGGTCTCGTTCTCTTGTTGGGGAGTCTGAAACTCAAGGAGTACTTCAGTTGATGCGAATGCTGTGTGGAAAAACTGGGACTTAAACCCCAGTTTTACTTGAGAGCTTGCATTTTTTTAACAGCTGAAATCTTTTTTGTTTCTTGAATTGCAGCGTGCTTCCTGTCTCAGTCTAGGGTCTTCTCATAGCACACTGGGACCCGGGAACCCTTTTTTGCTTGATAGACATATCACCATGCAGTGGCCCCAGCTCACTGCAGCTCTCTTTTCTTCACAGCCCATGACTGATGTCCTGCCGGCTGCTCGGTGGCTGGTGAGCAAATGGATGCCAGTGATGAACGAAGCAGAGAGACTGACTCTTGCCAGCTATGCCAGCTAGTCCATAAGGAGCCATTGGACAAGAGATTTCTCTAGGTCTCTCAGAGTGGCTGGGCAGCATCTAGACTGCTAGGGTTTCTGGATGGTGGTCATCAGACTCGTCTCTTAAAAGCCTTTTCCAACAGTGCCTCTAACATTCCCAACCGATTTGCTAAGCAGTTTTTATATATAGGCAATGGCTCATTTGGTCTCTGTGATGACCCGGGAGGGAGACAGGTGTTAGGGAGTCTGCGTGTGTAGACTGGGGGATTATTTTGGAGAGTGTGAGTCACTGTCCAGGGCTCCACAGCTGGGCAGTGGCAGACCCAGGCTTGAAGCTGCATTTTTGACTTTAGCTTCCATTCTACCCAAGCTTATCCAGGTTTCCCCTTCCCCCTGTTTGCTAAAGTTGTCCTTAAATGTTCTGTATACTGGATTTAGAAGCCTGTAGGATCTGCAGGAATGGTTAACTTGATGTGCTTTGTGCTATACTGTTACTGAATCAGTAAATAAAAGATCACATGACTGCTTCTTGTCTTGGATTCAGCTGATACGTACCTCCCCAAGATGATACACAGTATACACATTTCCTTTGCAGTAGATTCCTGGGTCAAAAGCCCCCCCTCCCCATCTTAAAAAAAATCTCAAGGCTTTTACAGATGACAAAACATGAAGTTGATATAATTTTTTTAAAGAAGTTGACCATTGGTCAGTAACACAAGCTCCTGTGATAAGTTTCTATAGAGACGTTAGCCTTGGCCCTTGGTTCAGCTTGCAGTGCCTTTGCTGTAAATGGAAAAGCTGATTTCCTTTTTTTGGGTTCTCTCAGTTTTCCTCTGATGGGAGCTGAACTCACCTTTGAGATCCTGTGGTGATGTCCTTTATTAAAAAGTTTCCCATCAGATAACACAGAACCAACACTTTCATACACAGATATGAACAACCCTTTGAAGTGTCTAATGGCCATCAAAGGACTTTACTAGGGGTGTGTAGAAATGGTGTCATTCAAGCTACTTGGGCTAGTTCCTCTGTTAAGGAGACCCACAGACCCCTGACTCCCACAATAGTTGAGCCCAGGTGGAGGGCGACTTCTTATGTGTCAGTTCAGAGTGAAGGGTGTTCAGGCCTGGTGTCAT